AGGAGGAGGAGGAGGAGGAGGAGGAGGAGGAAGGCGGAGGAGGAGGAGGAGGAGGAGGAGGAGGAAGAGGAGGAGGAGGAGGAGCCCGGGGGAGAAGTGGCAGCCAAGCATCCCACACGCCCGTCCACCCTCGGCAGGTGGGGGCCTGTGTATTGCCGTTCCTTGCCCGCCTGCTGCGTGACGCCCGCCCTTTTTGACGATCGCCCTCCCATCTTCCCCAGTCCCCTCGAGCGATGCCCGCCAGTCCCCACGCCTCCCCGACAGGCAAATGGCCAGATGGCAGGAAGATCCTGAAGACCCTCACAAGCTCAGCATCGAAGATGAGTCGCTGCCTCGGTATGTGTGAAGTTCCTTGCCGCCTACTCGTTTCCTGTGCGACCCAAGGGAAGGGTCCACGGTGTCGCAATGCGGTGTCGCAATGATGCAGCAGCACGTGCCACGATGCCTGATAGGAATATAACATTGAGACCCTCCACATTCAAACAAGCACACAGTGCAAACAAACGTACGACTTGTTCAGGTCGGGCGACCAGTTCCGTGTTGCGTCTCCGCAGAACCTTGCAGAATTTGCAGAGCGTCACAGTGAGCCTCGGCTGAGACCAACCAGCTCGTACAGTTTTGGGGGGTGCATGCGAACATCGGCTACAGCAGGCGATCATTCGGATGACATGGGCCTCACGCTTCACAAGGGTAGTCGCCTGCTGAAGATATTTGCAGCGGAGTCGAAATTGCAGGGCGCGCGGTTCGAGCCGCACCCCGTGATGAAGCAGGCGAATGCAACGATGTAACAAGGCTTCCTGGGGGGGGGGGGCTACTCTCGGATGGCTCGAAGTGCCATCCAGTTGCGCGGCCTACGGGGAGCGTATGGCAGCGTTGCGCGATTGTGCAGTGACGTGGTGACCTCGCACGCACGATCCAGTCCATTCCAAGAATCCAGGATAGCCATAGCCGCCCAAACCTCCACCGCCAACCGAAGCGAAGCAGCAGCACGCATCAAGACAACGGTACGAAGCAGCAGATGATGCGCAGCACGCAGCCGGAGCGCCAGGCGGCAGCAGCAGCAGCAGCAGCAGAAGCAGCAGCAGAAGCAGCAGAACGCATCCAGGCAGGCATCTGCAGCGATGTTTACGTACACTTGGTCTTCCTTTCTAGTGCTTTGACCGCGTGCCCCCGCGAAGCGGACAGAGAAACACAGGCGGTTGGTCTTGCCATCAACGGCCAGCATCAAGAATCTTGACGCCGATGACCGTCATCGCCGTATCTTCCTCTCATCCGTTTCACCAGCACGCCGCCATCACGCCGACACCACCCGATACCAGGGGGCAGCTCGCCGAAGGCAACAACAAGAGCAGCTGGCCCCGTCGCACCGCCATTGGCACCCTTGCACGCTGCCGCGCGAACGGCCCGAACGCGTAGCGCATCCTCCAGCCCCCAGCCTCCAGCCAAGCACTTGGGAGGGAGTGGAAGGAGGAAGTGGCGGGGATCGTGGGGGAGGGAACCAAGGAGGGGAGGGAGGAGGGGGGGCGCGAAGGAGTGGGCAGAGAGGAGGCACGATGGGGGCAGGAAGAGGAACACGGCACGGCAAGGCAGAGAATGCGAAACAAGGGGTGTGGGGGGGGCACGGAGAGGGGACGAGCAGGGGAGGGTGGGAGGGGGGAGGGAGGGGAGGGAGGGAAGGGGAAGGGGAATGGAGCAGAGTGGCGTGGAACGGAATGTAACGGAATGGACCCCACTCGCGATGCGAGTCTGAGCTCCCCACCGTGCACACCCCTGGACAGCCACGGAGGCCGCGAGCGAGAGAGACCCAGCGGCGACGACGAAACGCGATGCCACCCTCGCACTGCCGCAGAGCACGGCTGGAGTAGAGCGGAGGGAAGAAGGAAGGGATGGCCGAGTACCTCAGGGGGGGTCCCCTCTTGCGATGGCGCTGAGGCGGCGATCACCCACCGAACGTCTTCGCGGCCGTTCTCGCTACCATCGAGCGGTACCAAGAGCACGAGAAAAGCCTTCAGGGACTCGACGACGAGACACACGAGGCCGCCGTGGGCTTATTCATCCTTGCTCTTCCTCCTCATCTTCCTCCTTCCTCATCTTCCTCCTCCTCCTCTGATCCTCCTCCTCCCCACTCCTCTCTACGCCGTATTAGCAGCAGCATGAGCAGAGAAGACTACGTTTTTTTTGCGGAATTGAGCAGGGGTGCCCAGACGAGCTCACAGTGGCCGTCTGCGGAGGAAGGGAGGAGCAGGAGGAAGAGGACGATAAGGACACGGAAGCGCAGAAGGAGGACTATCAGGACGAGAGGCAGCAGAAAAGGACGTTGCACCCCCTCGGTTGCCTCTGTGACCCTGGCTGAGCAAGGGTGGAAGAGCCTGCAGCTTCAAAGTATTTGAATTGTGCGCGGAAGTGACGGGATTGCGCTGAAACTGTCAAATTAGTGATGGCGCATGCCCCGCTTCAGTGTTCGCGCCGGTGTGTCAAGTTCATACGGCTATTCGATCAACGCTGGACACCATGCGGAAACAGTCCAATATGTTGATCAATACATGGGCCAATGTGGCAAGAGTCGCCGCCCACGCATGCGATCACATGGTCGAGCTGGCGCGCGCTACTGACATGCACGCACACATACGAACAAGCACGCGTGGACGTCTGCCAATGTTCGCGTGTGTTGGCGCGCGTGTGTGGTGAAGCACGTGCAGGGACAGGCGCAAGGACCTGAGTCGGTCGATGCGCAGCCTGACGACCCCAACGACAGGGGACGCAGCATGTTGGGCTGACCGGCGAGCACGGACAGCGGGGTTCCGACCTTGGCGGTGGTTGTGTCTGGATGACCTCGATGCGATGGCTTGACTGGGCAGAGCACGGCAGCGTGCTGACACGCTCATAAGCTTAACAACTCCTACAGCACGACAGTATGCACATACGCATAGGAGGCGGACTTGTTGACGGTGCCAGCGAGCATAATCAGGAACATGTCGGACCGAGTGCATTCTCTGTCGCAGCGTGGAGAGCCGATCGACCCTCGGAGACTCAATCACAGCAGCTCACATGAGAGAGGCGAGCACGGACGGGCACGCCGAAGAGCAAGGCAGGGTGAGCTGCTCGAGAAGGCTGCGGCGGTGCAAGGCTTTGCCAGTCGAAGTTGGCCGCGACCTCTTGCAGCAGCTTGGAGTCGCGAAGCGCAGCGGGCGCAATCCATCGTGCAGTCAGCACCGCTCCCGAAGCGGATCTGGACGACTGGAACGATGTACAGTCGACCCGAACAGTCAGGATGGGCAACCTTCCCAATGGTATCCTGGTATCCTTGCCTCGTCGGGCCATTCTTAGAGACTCTCCTCTTCCGAATTCCTACGTGGCCTTCCAAGGCCCTTGCATCCTTACCGCGCACCCTCATGATACGGGCTGACTGGACCTGGAGGATCCAGGAGCCCATACTTCGTCCGACATCGACCTCGGCCGCTCGGTTGCCGAGCCGCTCCCGTCGCCCCGTTGCCACGCCGGGCGCCGCCTCCTCGCCGAGAGGCCATGCTCACGGTGGCGCTCACTCGCCTCCGGAGCGACCCGAGGCTCGCCGCCCACCCGGTCGAAGGAGGAGGGGGGGGAGGAGGAGGAGGAGGAGGAGGAGGAGGAGGAGGAGGAGGAGGAGGAGGAGGAGGAGGAGGAGGAGGAGGAGGAGGAGGAGGGGGCTCTGATCATCAGGAGGCCTGCCAGGAGAGGATGCACCCTGCCCCTCCCCCCTCACTTCCTCTGGTAGCAGATGATGGGAGCCTTGTTTACCCTCGTGGATCCGTCTCTGGCGTCGATTGGCGTCTGGGAGTCGATGAGGTAGCGCCGACTTAGCGTCGATTCATGTCGATCTGGCGTCGATTAGCGTCGATTTAGCGCCGACCAGCGTCGATTTAGCGTCGACCAGCGTCGATTCGCAAGAGCCGACAAGATGGTATGGGAGGCTCCCATGAGTTGCCACCGGATTCGGAGGCCTGCCAGGAAAGGATGCACCCTTCCCCCCTCCCCCGCCCGTTTCCTGAGCCGGTGCCCATGCCACTCCTCCTCGTCCTCGCGCCTGCAGGGCCCCCCCCGAACGAGAACCCTGAGGCTCGAGAGCAGGCTGAGGGCCGCCTCGCGGATCGAAGAGTCGAGGCGGATTGGCAGGTCGACCCCTGCCCAATCAAGGGTGCCCTTGCGTCCTGTGTTTGGCGATCCATGCCTTCTGCTACATTCCTGTGGCGATGTGGCCCTCGGGGGGATCTTGTGTCCCCTCGCGTGTCCTCTCCAGTCAGCCTCGACTGTAGAAAACGTCGGTCGAGGGTCGCCAGGTGCAGGCTGACCCTAGCGCGGCCGCAGGGTGCGTCGTCTGGAGGCCGCTCCTCCTGCCTCGTGCTCCTGCTCGCTCGCTCGGGCTGCGTCGGCTCCTGCCCGATCGCTCGCGGCGCCCCGTCTTCACGGGCGAGGCCCCGGCGGTCTGGCCGCGCTCCCTGTGCTCTGGTCGACCTTCGGGTGATACACCCATGAGCTGTCCCGAGAGAAAACGGCAATCCCCTGGATTTCAGGTTTCGCTCAAGAAGATCAGGAACCTGGACTGGGCCCTAGGCGTCTTCTTGGAGCTTTTTCGACTGTTTAAGAAAGCGCTTGGAGTGAACCTTTTTTTGCTGCTGCGAAGGATGATCTGAACTCTGAGCAAGGATGCAATTATCATTGTCGGCCTGCTGGCTGACCTTCTATGCCCCGGGTGGCGCCTCTCGTTTCGGTCAGCGCCCGGTTCCAGGGACTCGCCCGCGGCAGCCGCGGCGCGCGCCCAATCGCTCCTAGCGCTACATTGTGTGGCATGGCTGCCCAGCATGAGCGATGCCGTCGGGAAGAGGAGGGCGGGCCAAGGGCCCGGACCCATCGAGTCGTGAAACAGACACGGCAGAAGGTGTTTCGCCGTTGTCGGCCTCTGGGGGCCCTCACGTGGCCTCGGAACCGCAAGCTCGGGATGGGACACCGGCCCTGGGGAAGGAGTCGAGGGCTCTGGGGGTCGAGGCTATGACCAAATCTCAGGAGGGGAAAAAACACACAGACACAATTAATCGTCGATTCCCCAGAAAATATGCAAAAATATGGGAAGTGGTGGGGAAGACCAAAATCCAGAAAATATGGGAAAATATGGGGAATCTTTTTATTTATGTGTATTTATTTGTGTGTTCCAGTTCCCCTTCAAAATCATGACGCCGGGGGTCTGGGGGGCAGGAAGGTCGCGCCGACGGGACGCTGGCCTGGGCCTCCCAAATGGGGTCGGAGCAGATGGGGGCGGAGGATTGCGCCGCATCGCCGAGGCATCGGCGATGCGGCTCGATGCGGAGCGCGATTTTCTCCACGCCGACGTCGCCGATGCCGGCGTCGTTGGTGCATCGCCGATGCATCGCCGATGCATTGGCAATGCAGCTCGAAGAAGAAAAACGGCATGAACATAAACTTTGAGCGCTCCGCGCGGATTTCTTGGATCGGCGCCTGGGACACCTGGCGCGCTCCCCGCGCCAGGGAGGGGGACCCAGCGAAAATCCAAGAATTCCGCGCGGACCGTCGAAAGTTTATGTTTATGTTTTTTGTCTTCCTCTAGCATCGGCGATGCGTTGGCGATGCGGCGCGATCCTCCGACCCCACCTGCTCGGACCCCCACCTGCTCGGACCCTGGCTCGGGGGCTCCAGCTCCCGGGACAGGGGCCTGGCCGCCACACGGCGCGCTCTCCAGAGAGGGCCGCGCTCTCTGCGCGCCTTCCTCCTCCATTCCTTTCGTGCAAACAACTTCTCCCTGTCGCACTCCGAGGCCAGTTTGTAGGGCGGGCCGGGAGTTTCGCCTGAGACTTCCTCACCATGTATGACTCTGAAGCTCAAACATTGGCAACATCTTCACAGATGGAGGGCGGGTGGTTTTCAAAACGTGGCTCTCGCCTTACCGCCGCGCACATTCGTTTTTAACATTTTGCCAGAACTTCACGGATGGAGGATAACCCGTTTTCAAAATGTGGCTCTCGCCGTCGCGCCGCTCCTTCTCTTACTCCTCCTCCTCCTCCTCCTCCTCCTCCTCCTCCTCCTCCTCCTCCTCCTCCTCCTCCTCCTCCTTGGTGGTATCAGGCGCGCCTGTCCGAGGGTCCCGGGGGTGTCTACGGCGTGCAGGCAGGTGGCGCTGGAGGCGGGTCCGCGGGCCCGCGGGCGCGGTGCAAGCTGCGCTGCTGGGCATGGGCTGGGGCCCGCGCGCTGCATCCGTCGGGGTCCGCCCGGCGCCCGAGGGGGAGGAGGAGTGGAGGCTGGCTGGCGCGGACGGCGACAGCTTCCACACCTCTGCCGGCCTCAGCGGGGTGCTCCAGGACGTCGGGGAGGACCTCAGGCGCCAGCTCTGGCAGCGGGCGCCGTCGCACCCGCAGGGGAGACGACCTCGTCGATGGCGCGGACTTCCGGCACGTCACGCGCGAGCTCAGGAAGCGGGATCGCGAGGCTCGCCATGCCGAGTGGGGTCTCACCCTCACTGTGGTCGCGGGTGGCCCGTGGACGAGATCCCATCGCGCTGCTGCTGGCTACGTGCTGGACTTCGAGGGCTGCGCGCGGTGCGGTTATGCGAGCGAGACATTGGTTCACAGGAGCTGGCAGTGTCCTGCGAACGTGGGCCAGGAGTTAGATTCCGCTGCAGCCCTGGTGCCACGGGCACTCGCGGGCCATGAGTCCTCGCCTGACATGTGGCTGCGCGGGGTGCCCGCCTCCTGCATGACCACCCCTGTCTTCTGCGACCAGCGGGCGGAGCAGGCCGCGGTGTCCTTCGGCGCGGACGACACCCTGGAGGCAGCGAGGCGCGACGACGGCTTCGTGGTGGTCTACGGTGATGGCTCTGGTGGGAAGCATTCGGACGACCCGAGGCGCCGACGCTGCGCTGCCAGCATCTTGGTCATGGGCCAGGACGAGGAGGGTGCGTGGCCTGAGCTGGTCTGGTTCCGTGCTGTGCCTGTGCCTGGCAAATGGCAGACGGTGCCGCGTGCGGAGATCCTCGGCTTCGTGCTGGCGCTTGAGTCCGTCGGCGGCAACCTTAGGTACGTGACAGACCACGAGCCTCTTAGGCGGTGCTGGGAGAGAAGGTTGGCTTGGCTATCGTTCGGCCTGGCTGTGTCAACGAGGACCTTTGGCAGCGAGCTCGTCAGGCGCGGCGGCGCAGGCCCCCTGGCGAGATCGACGTGGTCTGGGTGCCAGCGCGCACGACCCAGGACGAGCACCTGCACTTGCTCAGGTCCGAGGCGGACCTCGAGCGGGCGATGGGCAACGCTGTTGCTGTTGCGCTCGCGAGCGCGACAGCGGCGGCGTGTTGGCGGCTCGGGCTTGCGGAGGCAGAGCCGCACACCGACGTCGTGGGCGTGGAGGCCCGCATGGTCCGCAGGAGGGCCTGCCGAGCCCTCGACCTCGCGGCTGAGGCCGACCCGCAGCGTGGAATCCGGCGCCTGGGGCCGGGACGGCCCATCTGTTCTGCTGCCGCCGTGGTCTGCGCTTCCTCGTCGCACGAGCTGCAGCAATGCGGGACAGACCGATGAATCTGCACACGCTGCGTGTGCGTGGTCGAGCAGAGCCATCGGGGCCGTCGGCCGAGGCTCGTGGCGGCGCGCCCGTGCCCGTGGCCGCGGCCGAGCTGCAGAAGGGAGGGGGAGGAGCCCTGGACCTCCATCCCTCTCACACCCTGCATGCTGTGCCTCTCCATTGCAGCACGTGTCGTGCGCGTTGTGGCTTCTCTACCTCGGTCGCGAATGGTGGCGATGCCCGCCACTTGCGTCGTCCGTGTCGGGGTTGCATTGAGAACGAGAAGGCGCATTTGAGGGTTGCATTGAGAATGAGTCGTGGTTGCAGTGAGAATCTCAGTCGCATTCGGAGGGGTCATCTTCCCCGGCATGAAGGCCCGCCTCGGGGCACCCTCGGAGTCCAGGAAGCCCTCCTTGCTGCCGCCGCGCGCAGCAAGCAGGCTTCGGAAGCCGCTGTGGGAGCTCCCGAACCGAGCCCGAGCCTGCTGCAGTCCCCAGGAGGGTCCCGCAGCTAAGGCTTGGGGGGCGGGGGCCACGCACGGGGCGTCGGTGCCTGCGTGGCGTTCGTCCCTCTCGCCTGGGGTGCGGGGCCCAATCGGGCCTCTGGTTGAACCAAGCGTTCCTAAACGTTCCTCCTCCTCCTCCTACTCCTCCTCCTCCTACTCCTCCTCCTCCTCCGCCTCCTCCTCCTCCTCCTCCTCCTCCTCCCCCTCCTCCTCCCACCTCCTCTTCTTCCTCCCACCTCCTCACCCTTCGCCTCAAAGTCCGCCTCCTCCTCCTCCTCGTCCCCCTCCCTCGCCCTGCCCCCCCCCGAGTGGCGTGGAGCCAGTGCTCGAGGACTTCGCCCACGGAGCCGGCAGGCTCCCTCGCATCATCGTCGTCGCCTCCGTCGTCGGCGTCGCCCCCGCCGCCGTTGGTGTTTTTGTCGTCGGCGTCACCGTTGTGATCGTGACCGTCGTCGTCGTCGTCGTCGTCGTCGTCATCCTCGTCATCATCGTCGTCGTCGTCGTCGGCGGCGGCGTCGTCGTCCTCTTCTTCGGTGAAAAAGGAGTAGGAGGAAGAGAAAGAGGCGGAGGAGAAGGATGAGCAGAAAGAGAGAGAGAGAGAGAGAGAAAAAAAAAAAAGAAGGGAAGGATGGAGAGGAAGGAGAGAATGAGGAGGAGGAGGGGGAGGAGGAGAAGGAGGGGGAGGAGGAGGAGGAAAACTAGCGTAAACCCAAGGGTCACCAGCGATGTTGGAATAAACCCTCCCTCCAAGCTCCCTCTTCATAGGCTCCTACGACGGTTCATCTCCACTGAGGGAATTCCCTCGTCAGAAGACAACCGCTCGAAGATTCTGATGCATGCCCGAACGTGGTTCTCGGGATTCCAACGCCACGGATCAACCTGACTGTTGCGTCGTGACGAGCTTGAATCGCGCCAGATAGCCGTGTCCCGGACTTCAACACCGCGAGCCAACGTAATTGTTGCACCCGCATAATCTTGCTTCTTTCCCAAATAGCATTTCTGGTACGTTGATCGTGGGAATCAATGCTTGTAAATGTTATGAACGAATGTGCGCGACGCTACGGCGAGAGCCACCTTTTGAAAAGGGGCCGCCCTCAAGCCGTGAAGCTCTCGCATAATTTGTAGAACAAGTGCACGCGGCGCAAAGGCGAGAGCCACATTTCAAAAACCACCCGTCCTCAATCCGTGAAGTTCTTGCAAATCTTTAAAACCAATGCGCCCGGCGCTGAGGCGAGAGCCACATGTTGAAAAGGAACCGCCCCCAATCCGCGAAACCTTTGTGCAATGTCTAGAACAACTGTGCGCGGCGCTAAGGCGAGAGCCACATCTTGAAAACCAGTCGCCCTCAGTCCGTGAAGCCCTCTGCGAATTTGTAAAACGAATTTGCGTGGCGCCAAGGCGAGAGCCACATTTTGCAAACCACCCGCCCTCCATGCGCGAATCCCTTGCAATTTCCAGAAACTACTGTGCGCGGCGCTAAGGCGAGAGCCACATTTTGAGAACGGCCCGACCACTATTTGTGAAGCGGTTGCCAGTGTTTACGTTTCAGGGTCATGAATGGTGAGGAAGTCTCGTGCGAAGTGGCCAGCCCGCCTTTTGGACCGGCCTCGCGGCGCGACAGGGAGGAGGTTTATTTCAATAACGATACGTAGAGGCATGGGGGAAGAGGAAGAGGAGGAGGAGGAGGGAGATGTTGATGATGATGCTGATGCTGTTGATGATGATGATGCTGATGATGCTAATCATGATGCTGATGTTGCTGTTGATGATGATGATGATGATGATGATGATGATGATGATGATGATGATGATGATGATGATGATGATGATGATGATGATGATGATGATGCTGATGATGATGATGATGATGATGATGGTGGTGGTGGTGGTGGTGGTGGTGATGATGATGATGATGATGATGATGATGATGATGATGATGATGACGACGCTGATGATGATGCTAATGCTGATGCTGCTGATGATGACGGTGCTGATGCTGCTGCTGCTGCTGCTGATGATGTGGAGGAGGAGGAGGAGGAGGAGGAGGAGGACGAGGAGGACGAAAGAAGATAAGATAAAGGATGAGGAGAGACAGAAGGAGGACAAGGAGGAGGAGGAGGAGGAGGAGGAGGAGGGGAGGAGGAATAGGAAGAGGACGAGGAGGAGGAGGAGGAGGAGAGAAAGGAGGAGGAGTAGCAGGAGGAGGAGGAGGAGAGAAACGAGGAGGAAGATGAGGAGGAGGCGGAGGAGGAGAGAAGGGAGAAGGAGAAGGAGGAGGAGGAGGTAAGGAGGAAGCGAAGCAGAAGGCAGGGAGTGGTGGAAGAGGCTCGGGGGTTGCTAGAGGCGCCCGTGACCCCGGGAGCCCGCAGCTCTTCGCTCCTTGTTGGAGCCCTGCGGGCCCCCCTGGGCATCTTGAGAAGTGCTCTGGAAGCCGTGGGGGGCCTCCTTGGAGATCCTGGGGGGCACCTCGGGCCAGGGGCACCTTGGGCCAGGGGCACCCTGGGCCAGGGGCAACTTGGAAGAGGGAGGGAGCGGTGGAAGCGCTCGGAAGTGTGCATGTGTCCCCGGCGAGGAGCACCCCATTTCACCTTTCGGATAAGTCAGCGCCCGAAGCAGAAGAAGGCACGGGGAACGTTCGTCCGAGCGGTGGCAGGAGGGAGAGGAGGGTGATGATGGAGAGGACCTGGCTCATTTCGATTCCTAGGATTCGATTCGGTTCGATTTCGATGGGCTTCCGATTCCAATTCGGTTCGACTCCGGACTCTGATTTCTTAATGGAGGCGTACTGGCCTGCCGATTTCAGTCGAGTCGTCTTCTCCAGACTCGGCTGCCGATTTCCGCCGACTTATCGGTTTCGCTTCTGGGCTCTCTCGCAGGACGAGGAGGAACGGGAGGTGAAAGAGGGGGAGGGGGAGGCGAACGAGCAGGAGGGGGGAAGAGGAGCAGAGGCAGCGCTCCACCGAGAAAAAGGTGAACAAAAAGTTGCAGCAAGGTGCAAAAGGTGCAAAAATGTCAGCAGCGCTGCAGCGGTGCAAAAAGGTGCCTCTCGCGCCGTTGCGCCCAGCCTCGTAGCTGTCCGGGGCGCTTTCTATCTCTCTCTCTCTCTCTCTCTCTCTGGCTGCGCCCACGGCCACCGGACGTGGTCTCGAGCAGAGGCGCCTGGCCGGGCCCGCCAGGAAAGGTGCTCGTGTGCACAGCGTGTGTTCGCAAGCAGCCTGCGCTGAAGGTCTTCTCGCTGCAGCTTGAGTGACTCGTGTCTGTCGCCTGGAGTTCGGCCGCTGTCGCCGATGCGGTCCTGGATAGCAATGGGCATATAATCCCGCTCGTAAGGTCCCATAAGTGTGTCGGCGGGGGTTCTGTCGTTGTTGCCGTTAGGGGTACAGGCGTACGGTCCCATCCACACTTACGGTCCCATTGGCATACTGCAATCTGTATTGGAAGCACCGCCGGGCGAGTTACTGGCGATGGCGAGTCGCTGAATCTCCTCGCAGGTATAAAAGCGAGTACTGGTGGGAAGCCATGGCAGTGATCACTACGCGAAGCAAACGGATGAACTTGGGCGTTGTGCGCCGTTGATGCAGGCTTCAGCCCACCTGCCGGGAATTAGCATTTGTGGTTGTATGGTGGGCTGGATGGAGAGTTTTGCTTGTCCAGTGCCATCCGGCATCCTCATGGATGAGATTTGTCCAGGGTTTCTTCTGCGGGGTTGGACATTGTGAGCTATGCCAGAGATGTCGGACAATTTGTGTGTCTTAGTCCCGCCGCTCACGCGAATGCGCTTTGAGATGCGCGACGTCAATACCCACTCTTCCGCTCAATCCGAAGAAAATGTTTCGGAATGTCGGGTCTCGCCGCTTCTGGAGTCAGACAGACAATCAAGCGTTCGAGCGGGCATGCACGGGGCAGGCATTTGTTTGGAGAACCCCGCGTTGCGAGCCGTTTTTTGCTTCTGTTGGGCGCGACATGGAAAACGCTGTTGCCTTCTGGATGTCTACCGCGCTGGGGTACCAGATGTCTCCCGCGCTGGGGTGCCGCGCCCGTCAGAGACGAGCGGGAATACAATGTTGTTGCCGATCATGTTGCCAACGCCCCGCCCGACGACCACAAAGACTTGGGTCGGGGGTGGACAAAAGCTCCACCCTGACACGTCGATTAGTGAATTGTGCACTTTCGGTTCTCGAGAGGGTACCGCGGTCGTCATTTTCCAGGCTTGCGCCCGCCAGGTTTGGGCCCGAGGTCGTTCTCAGTAAACCACGTTTTACTGAAGGCTCCTCCTCCTCCTCCTCCTCCTCCTCCTCCTTCTTCCCCCTCCCCCCCCCCTCCCCCTCCCCCTCCCCCTCCGGTTCTGTCCATCCCGGGATGGGATTTGCGCGATCCAGGTCATCTTCGCCCAGG